TTTGCTGCTTATTTGCTGCTTAAAGCCTCTGTGATCAAGAGAGGGGAATGAGCAATTGTCTGGGACGCCGGCCTGTTTGCATATGTAAAAAGAAAGAAGGGAACTGACTCGGGCGTGAAGAGCTCAAGCATTCAGGTAAAAGATGAATCTTGCACAGACACTGGGGATTTGCCCAGTGGACAATTCCATCATGGACGCAGACAGCAAAGTAATTTGGAATAGATCTTGATTGGTTTCTCATTGTGTGTCCAGAAAATCCCTTGTGTGTGGGAAAGCTTTAATTGAGTTTGACATCTCAGGATTATGAATCCTATGGCTATGTTAAATGGACAATTTACATCTTAATTTAAAATTCCACATGGGTAAAAAGATATTAATTACATTATGCAGGGAATGAAATTCAAGTTGTTGGTTTTTTTAGTTTTAATTATCTTAATTTCAACCGCAGGGGATTCAAAAGAGAACTGTTTATTTGAATCACAGAGCAGTAAAAAACCAGGCCAGTACATTCAGTTTGCATTCTTCACTGATCGCACCAAACACACCAGTCGGTTCCACTTCAGATTATGACTGTGAACTCACAGCAGCAGTTTGATTCTGAAAGTTTGAGAAGATTATTTTATGTGAAAAATCAAATATTAATGGGCAGAAACAGAAGACGTCTTAAAAATAGCATGCAACAAAGCACATAATAAAAACACATTAATTACATGTTGTGTTGATTAATTAATCTTAGTTAATATTATCATAATAAACATAGTTTAAGATTATATTGTTATGGCAAAATGACAGTAAAAACATTTATAATGTTTCAAAAGATTTCCATTTCAAATAAATGCTGTTCATTTGAACTTTCTATTCATTAAAGAATCCTGAAAAATATTATGGTTTCCCCCAAAATATTAAGCAGCAAAACTGCTTTCAACATTGATCGTAATAAGAAATGTTTCTTGAGCAGCAAATCAGCATATTAGAATACATTTATGAAGGATCATGTGACACTAAAGACTAAATTGTTTGATGCTTGCTGATCAATTCATATTATGTAATGTAATTCTATGTATAAAAATATGTATAAATTAAGTAAAGTGACATTACATTTAAAGTTGGTAGATTTAGACCAAGTACTTTAAGCAAGGTGGATTGTGGTATCTTCAAAGTGTGCTTTAAGTGACCAATCCTGCTTTCCTGATAGTAAAAAAGAACAAAAACATATCAGTCAAAACAAAGACAGCCTGGTTTTGACACATGAAACAAACAAAGCAGTGTTTGTCATTGAGATTAGAGCCGATCAAAGGCTGTGGTGACCATAAAATGCATCGCCCTATGAACCTCAGAAAGAAGAAGAGAGAATAAAAATCAAAAAGTGAATTGTATCTTCCTGAGGAGGTGGAAAAATACAATTTTATGTAATAAAAAAAAAGCGTGCGAGGGAACTACTGCATTATAGACTGCTCTCTCAATGAGAATGTAAAAGGTAATTTCACATATAAAAAGAACTCTAATGCATGGTAGTAATGTCGTGGGGATGGAACAAAGGCAAACTTTCATCTCTTTAAGCTTGGATGGAGAAAACCTTTGATGCTTTGAAAATGATAATAAAAATCTCAGACTGAACCAGTGAATACGATGCAGGCCCCCCAGCACTTAATGCAGACACATGGGCTATCTACAGGGAGAAAAAAAGCCCTCAAATTGTGACACTTAGGGCGGCCAAATTATACCCTGAACAAACACAAAAGTGTGGGGAATAAAAATCCTATTATATCAAATATTAGTTGAAATCTCAGCATGCTAAGAGACAGAATTTATGTTCAAATGACGTTCTACATTTTGCAAAGCAATATTAATATATATAACCGTGATATATAAAAAAGAGAGCCGGGAAAGATTTAAAGATGGCTTTAAGCACAATAAGGCAAAATGCAAAAGTTTGATTGGATAGAAAGAAGTTATTGCTCTTTCTAAACTAAAAGGCCCCATTGTAAGTGATGACATGTGCATGTGATGGGGGGAGAAGACACAAGGTCTGTTCAGTGCTCTTTAGAAGAGGAAATTAGGCGTGAAAATTAGACTTTCCACCACCATAAGGGACAGTCCAGCAGCCCCATGCCTGGGGTCCGTCCTGCAGGACAGATGATTGGAAAAGTCTGCCCGTCCACACTAAACGCATCCCCCCCGAACCCCTGACCCTGGTGTGCATTGAAATAACCCATTAGCTGCATAATGTATTTAGATCAATGTCTTACACTCCACCCCCTCCTTCTCAGAAAAACATTTTGACTCCACATTTCCAATTATTCAAACCATTTCCTTTGACTAGCCTCGTCCCTGTGCTCTGAGAGTCGGGTGTTCATCATCACTTCCTGTAGCTGTTTTCCAGAACTAGCATACATTATCATTGGAAGATAACCTAACATGAATAACACTTAAAAACATGGCAAAAAGTTTTTCTATTTTCTCACCCTCATGTTGTGTGAATAATGTGGTTGCTCTTTTCCACGCGATTACTGTAAATGGGGACTGGAACTGTCAAGCTTCAAAAGGAACATCATAAAATGTTTCTAAAAATATTCTATAACAACAGTGCATTGCATTCCAGGGGGCTGTTCCATAAACCAAGATTAGAGTATAAGCCAGGCTTATTTCGGTTAGTCAAGCTTATTTTTGGTAGATTCGGTTTCATAAATCAAACTTAAAAAAGTTTAAACTCAGTTACCCTGGCAACTTATGCTGGGAAACTAGCCTGGTCCAGGGCAGGCTAACTGTCAGGCTAAGCCTCAGTTGTTACACAGATCCTCAACACTGACCGACAAGAACACAATGATATTACCACTGACAGTCTCTAATACCATTATTGGACTTTATAAATACACAGTATACAGAAAATCAACTTAAATAAGGCTACAATATAGACACATATATAAGGCGTTTTAAAGTTTTCCGTTTAGGACATGTCATTTTTGTAATAAAGACATTTTAATTAAGGAATGCCTCGGTTATCAGAGAATTCTTTCTCTACACTGTCTCATATATATATATATATTTTTTTTTTGAAGTACTTTCTTATGTCTTTCAATTCAAACACATTTAACACAATTATACAAATGGACAGTTCCTTTAAAGACATCATATTTTCCCCCAATAAATATTCCTTATTTTTCCTTCTACTTTTTTTTCTTTTGTGATAATACCAACACATACATATAAATAAAACAATAAATAAATATTAATAAAAATATAACATTCACATATATCAAACTCTTATAATGAATGACACATAATTCCTAAAAGTTATTCAAGTAATATTATTTAAATATCAAATATTCAATATTAAATAAGTAAATAAATAAAATAACAAATAACTAGAAATAAAAGGGAAGGTTACATAAAAATGTAGTTAATGTAGGCCAATATATATTCCTTTATTTTATGGAATATTCTTTGATTTTAGAGTTGCACATATCTTTTCAAAATGTATACATTTGTTCTTAATTTAATGTTATCCTCTCCATAATGTACTTTAGAAACTAAATCTAACCACTCATTTAAAACTGGGGATTCTTGCTTTCTCAAAAAAAAAATGATTGCATTAAAAGCTGTAATTCTCAGCATTCTAAATAAGTATATATCATCTTTATAAAGTAGCATAGGTCCTATACCCAAAACTATATTTTGTATCTTTATTTATTTAGTTTCTTTAAAAAAAATCTTCCCTGAATTAGGCTACTTCTGTTCAATTTCTTTTTTTTTATTAGAAGTATAAAATATATGAGTGTAATGAGCTAGAAGTTCACTGCAACTTATCCAACATCCTAAAGAGAAATTATTATAATTAGAAGATATTTCTAGTGTTATAAAAGATCGCATATTAATTTTCCAAGCAAAATGTATATTTTAGTCAGAATTATTGCGCTCCTATTTGGCGCGCATGCGCGCAGCAGCGCTCGTTCAATATGAAGATTAGCAGCAAAATGGATACATTTGCACGACTTTCTAACATTTACAGATGGAAAATATAACTGTAAAATGTAATTTGTGCACTGAGGGAAAAAAAAAAACATGTCACAAATGCATAAAACAGCACAAAATATACGCTGTATGATGGTGGATCGATTTGATCCACGATCGACCTCTAGGGCTGCTTCAGAAACGCGTGCACACGCAATTATCTAGACTAGATAAACCTGGATCAAATTAGTGAGATTGAGTGAACTTCAATTACCTTTTATGGAACCACTTTAGCCCCAACTTATTTGTTAGGCTCATTCAAGTCAGGTTTTGGAGTTTAATCCCCGCTTTTCTAAGCTTCATTTATGGAACAGCCCCCTGGTCTTCTCAATGTTTAGTATTATTTATATGCTGTTATAGGATTCCTTAATATTTAGAATTAGCTTTTATTTTATATTTCAATTTGAATACAAAATTTGGTTGTTGTTGTAGTTATTTTGATTGTTTCTTTCGCTTTTGTAATTTTTATTATTTTGTTTATATCTGTATAGCTTTAATTTATTTTATTTCATATTTATTTCACTTTACGAAAACATTTTTTAATAGTATTTTAGTTAACACAGTTGACAAAAACATCACGGTTTGTGTGATGAACATACTGAAAAATAAGTTACTGAAATGATCAAAAACAAGATTGACGTCTGATTCTTGAACAAATTGTTATTTTGACTCGTTTCAATCTTTTCAATGAACCAAGTTGATCCAGTTTAAAAAATGATACAGTTCTCAAATTCACTGACTCAATGATTCAGTCACAGAAGGTCATTGTGAATTACAGCTTAAATTTCAGTCTGTTCACACAAAACACTTCAAAAAAAGATCACTAGTTGTATATTTATGTATGGAAATACATTTTTGCATTATTTTTACAGCGATTGGGAATAATTGGTTGAAGAAAAACGTATGTTCCTTTGTGTTTCACGGAATAATTGAAGTAAAAGTTTTGGAACAACATGATGGTGAGTAAATAATGAAAGACTATTAATTTCTCAGTGAACTATCCATTTAATGACTGGTTTTGGAATTTAAATGAGGCTGCATGTACTTGCCGAAGCATGTATCCAGAAGATAACTGAATTAATATTTTACATATCAACTAAATTCGCCAGAGGAAAGTTGAAGTTAGAGAATCAAGCTTTGAGCTCTATGTTATTCAAATATACTGACCCAAGTGCAGAAAAAAATCCTCTCTTGTTCCAGTCAAGGACATTATCAGGTCTTTCATTTTTACATTCAATGCAATTTTGAGGTTGAATGATATTTTGCATGGGTATTGAAGGCAGACTAAAGGAACGCTTTAAGATAAGTGTTATTGGAGTCAGAGGGAATTTGAATGGACAGTTCGTGGCATTGCAAAGACGTTGATTGGATGCTGTTCTTCTGAAATGCTAATGGATGACTCCTTAAAAAAACACAAAACGGATCGGATCACAGTATCAGTCATCTGTCCAATCAAATCCATTATAAAAGTGCATTCATTTAAAATACAAATAAAATGAACTCTCCATAATGATGTCTCCCTGAGTGGAATGAACTGCCAATATTCAAACACAGATAGGAATTGAAACAGGAACATTTCTTCAAATCAATGCCAGAGCCCTTTGAAACATGGAGGCTTTTTTTGTGCAAAAGAGACTGAAAGAAAGAGGAAAAACAGCACTGCTTATCTTTTAGTTTTGATTTAGGCTGAAACTCTCCGGAGGTGTAGTCAATCCCCATGATAACCAAGTATGAGTCCTGATCTTCACAGCATAATTGCAGCTTTTGAGGAGTGAAACATGAGAGAATACAACGCTAACACCAACTTTTTATTTCTAACTTTTCCTACAGTTTACGAATCCCCGGATCTCTTATGAGTAAAGAAAGCTAAGCTATAATTATTGAAAAGCTAAGCTTGAAGTTACAGCTATTTTCGGGCACAGCTTTTTTGCTGATGCCTAACTTGGCGGCGCTCGTTTTGAAAAGGGCGTGTTTGGTTAAAAATGAAAACGGTGCTTTTTCCTTCTCATGAACTTGGGATAAAAAGGAAATTGTCATTTAATTAAAACTCCTAAAATGGTCTATAAAAACAACCATTAAACTGACCGTCACCTCATTTTGCAGCACATTACGTCATATACAAAGTATGCGACCATAATTATGTGAGAAAGGCCTTTTTGGACAAACAAGTAGAGATATTTCCAAGCACACACCCCCTCTATGAAAACAAGATGCCCGAAATTGAGTCCGATAGCTCCTGCAGGGCTCTCAATGGTAAACAGCTAAAATCAGCTACGCCTCCCTCAGCGCCTGGCACAGAGCAGAAAAACCCAAGAAGCGCGCCCCCACGGGGATAAACAAGTCTTTAGGTCAAGTCTAAAGCGGCTCAGATGCATTCCTGCCTGTTATTAATAAGGTCTTGGAGGATACCGCTACAACTCGCGAATACTCAACCGAAGTGCCTGGCCTTCCACGTGCCGGAGCTGTGCGGCGGAGGCACTCTAACCCCTTTTAATTGCCCTAGAGGTGGGACGGGTTACAGAGGGCCATGCCTGGTGAAAATAATGCATTATTTATTCCGATCTGCCTGCTCCTCTATGAGCGTGCATCAGGGCTAATAGATTAATGAGGTCACATTAACATTTCTCTCACAGCCCGGAACAAGATGGCTGTTGATGGAAATTAGATTAAGCCGGCCTAGATTAAGCACATTTACTTCAATACAATCTCAGGTACTTTCTACTAACACTATATAATGGCATCGCAGCACGCATATAATGCGTATCCCATTACAAGCTGCATTTAAAAAATCAAATAAAACTATGTAATTTTTGGGCAAAACGTAAGAAACACTCACCAAATGCATCATTACAGGCCTGAACGTCCGTTGTTTAAGGCATTAAGGTAATTTAACAATGTCCAGAGGAAAGTGTAATGGCCATGATGGATTTTTGTTTTTCTCATGGTCTATGGCTGATAATATTTTTATAGTCTTTTTCTTGTGTACTTAAGCCATTAAAGACTCCAAATGTAAGAAAATTGTCTGTCAATTTGTCAGTTATTTGCTCACTAAATGTTGTAGCACTTACTGTCATTTGTGGTGATCAATACTTAATAAATTAGGATGTTCACCTCAGTTTAAGACACGGATGTACAGCACCTTCTCGGCCCCCGGGGGGCCCGGACTGATGGAAGCTTCTCACTAATGTAGCCAAAGTGAGCCCTTTCTGTAAATTGCTTTTGTAAATTCAGTTGAGCTGAAATACTACTCAACCTCGACTTTCATTAAACGGGATGTTGAAAGTCAGAGAAAGCAAGAAAAAGAGAGGGGCGGAGGAAGAGCCTGGAAGACGTTAACATGCCGCCAACAAGTACAGTAATGCATCGAAGATTGTATTCTCTCCAAAACCATCCCATTTACAATATTGAATTATCAGGCAGAACATCAATGATCGTTGTCACTGAGAAACACACTCCCTGTGTCCAATCCAATTAAATACATTTGTTAAATAATGTAATGATTGCTTTAACCATTCTCTCACTTACAGTCCATTCATTATGAATACTAAAAATGCCATTGTACAGTACTTGGGGAAAAGGTTATGTGGACCGATAGAATTAATTGTCCCGCTGAAGAAAAATGTCATGGGAACAATTAGATTTTTGTGATGCCCGATTCCTCCTCCCCAGCCAGTTAGTGCCATGGCGTTTTAATTTGTAACCCGACATGATAATATGCTGTTAGTGGGTAAAAGCGGCAAATATATTTCATATTGATTAAAAGAGATGAGCTAATGTTTCTTTGTGAGGAAATAGCTGCTTTGTGCAGGTGTAGGTGCAACGGTGATTTATAATTACCCCAAATACCATCAGGTATAAATACCGAACGATTAGACCCGCCACTTTAACAGGCCAGTGTGCCTCGGGTAATTGACATGCTAGATGGTTTTATATATATATATATACACACTTTAGATTAGGGTCCAATTCTCACTCACCAACTACAAATTTTACCTCAATAAACTCTATTATTAAGAGTTAATAAGGCAGTTGTAATGTTTAGGTATGGGGAAGGATTAGGGATGTAGAATATTGTCATGCAGAATAAGAAAGTAACATGTGCTTTACAGAGCCGGACAGTAACGGAGTACATTTACTTGAGTACAGTACTTAAGTACAATTTTGAGGGATCTGTACTTTACTCGAGTATCATTTTTGGGGAGTACTTATGACTTTACTCAAGTACATTTGAGAGGCAAATATTGTACTCTTTACTCCAATACATTTCTATCCATAACCGTGAGTACCCGAGTAAAAAAAAAAAAAAAGTAAAAAGAAAAAGAAAAATCTTGGAAACCCTCAATTTGTTGTTTCCCTCTCAAACGTGATTGGATTGTGCAGGCGCCACTGATTGGGACAGCCTATCAGCAATCACTTCCAGCTTTCCGCCAAAGTCAACTCCATGGTCAGATTTTATATTACACATTAATGTAAGCCAAGCATTTGGTTTGATGTTCTTGAGTATGTGGTGTGTTTAACACAGATGTGGCAGTGGCGTAGCCACGAGGGATTTCTGATTTCTTAAAAAAAAAACTTTAGGAGGCAAAATATATTTTTACTGATTATGTGAATTACACTGCGCAAACCAAAGTAGGCTACTACCCAGCGAATGAAGAAGGGTTGGCGCTCAGTCTCCACAGTACATAAAATATTAATTTTGTTTTATTTTATTTTTCGGGTTTGCATTTATGAGGAAAAAACAATGTTATGGACGTGTTCTCCGTTACGGACGTGAGCGCTCTGAAAGCGGCATAAAAAATGCTTTAAAACTTTCACAGAGACATCAAACAGAAAACACAAAACCTTTCTTTAACCTGAATTTCGTTTTGCATTAATTGTATCTTAATTTTAATCAATGTTTCATCAACCAATTGCCTGGGTTTAATAAATAAGAAGTAAATAGCAGACGATAGATAAGAAACGGAGGCGCCGGCACGTGAACTGGATCTCGTCTCATAAATGAACCGAAACTCAGTGTATAAGGTAGCCTACTTGCCTCTCACAGACATGTCTACTTTTAAACAGAAAAATTCAAAACGAAAGAAAACAGACTACAGATTGTCTCTGCTTATGTAATCCGTATGAAATGTGCATTTCTCTCTGGCGCGTTCACTACTGAAGATCGCGAGTCAGCATCGTCAACTTCATCTTAGCCGACACTGACAAAGAAAACACTTGTTTATTAACAAGTGTTTTTTAATAAACAATTAAAATATCTCCTTGCTATATTTTACATATTCATAATCATTCCTTTTGCCGGTTCTTTGTGACAGCTTTTAGGTGCTTTATTGGCAGCGCCACCCTTACATGTGGTGTGTGTGTGTGTGTGTGTGTGTTGTCCCCGCATTTAAGATGGGACCCCCCATAAATTTAATTTAATTAAATAAAGCAACATGGTAAAAAGATGAAAATGACTTGATTTTACTTTCAATTCCTTTTACATTCTCCAAGGTATTAACATTAACATTTTTCATAACTCCATGTAGGACGTTTCTGTGCATAAATGTAAGCACTGTGGCAGTAGATTAGTAATGCAATATTTAGAAAATTTACTCTTGTACTCTTGATACTCAAGTACTTTTAAAAACAAGTACTTTAGTACTTTTACTTAAGTAGACATCTGAATGTAGTACTTTTACTTGTACTTGAGTAAAATTTAGCAAGGGGTATCTGTACTTTTACTCAAGTAACAAAGCTCTGTACTCTGTCCGCCTCTGGTGCTTTATAAGTACTAATAAACGGACAATATCCTAGTAATAAGCAACTAATTACCGGTAATAGTGAGAATTGGACCCTAAAGTAAGTGACTAAAGCCTTACCAGATGGATAGAAAGATGGATGGATGTTTTCGGGCATGCAAGGCCAACTCTTAGCTACCTGAATGGGGAAATATGATATCTCAAAAACTGCTTGCCAAACTCACATTAAATATCAAAATTGGACATAAAGTGTCCCATAAATGTTGATTCTTATGTTCAAATAGCGTTTAAAAATGCATATATTTCAGGTTGGTCCAGTCAATGAGCATGTGCACGTCTCAGGACACTGACTGTTTCTATGGCAACTAGAGCTTCAAACAGCGACTGAAGTGACGCGATGATTTAACCAATTGGCAATTGGCTCTTTTATTTAGAACACGGGACTAATTTCACCATGTTGTGCATTGCATTTTCTCCCATTCAGTATTCGCTTGTATGAATTACTACGTTGATACCAGAGTGTGTTGACATACTTGAGGCCCGGTCTATGTGGAAACCCTAACAAAAATACTGCAAGTTAAAGTTAATGGTTTTTAGATAAACTGTGACAGTTCTATTTTCTGCATGAATTTAATACACCATAAATGTATGGCCAACTTTATTCATGCTGAACGGTTAATACAAACATTTAAAAGATTTACAATTACAGCTAGTGAACCATTTATGTACGAACAAAAACAAAGGATAGTACAAGGCCAAGGACATATACTGTATTTAAACAAAGACGGTTCAATCCAATCCAATCAAATCATATCGGTGTGGCTTATCACGTTGTGATATTCAGAGCTTCAGTGAACTGATCTCTACTCGTCCTACTTAAGAAAAGTGTGTGTCTTGCGGTTCTTTGTGTTTTACAGATATGCCTACTAGACACAAAATCATAACGCTTAATTAAATGGTGTTAAAGTTAAATTCGATAATGGAGCAGAGATAAACCAAACAACATGAAAGTCACAAGATGCTCTGCAGGTCAAAGTTTACAATTTTCATCGTAACACCATTTGGAAGTAATCAGAAGCCTACGTTGTCACATAACCCTGTGAATAAGGTGTCAGCGAGCTCCTTCTCTAAAAAAAATAAATAAATAAAGCGTTGCTTCAGCAGATAAAAAGTGTTCAAATTACAAAGGGAAAGGATGGAAAAATAACTCCAATTTACACTCATTTTCACCTTTTGTTGCGAGTTTTCTGTCGTGGGATTGGCGCGGCCGGGGAGAGGAGGCTATTCTCCGGGGAGCGGGGCGTGTGTGCGGCAGGACAATGGACCGAGGCGCACACCAGGCCCGGCGCGTCACACCTGCTGAGAGAATAAATGACACACTTCGTTCTCTGCCGTTGTCTGCCTGGCATTTCACACACGCTCCAAATTCATCACCTTTGTCTTCAAAACAAAGGCAAAAGAAGAAAAAAAAGGAGAAATTGCCTGGTCTGAGGTGAGCTTAAGGAAATATTTCCAGAGCCGAAGAGGGACAATAACCTTTTGTGTGCTTTGTCCTAGTACATAGACAAAAAAGCCTCAAATACAAACTCGCCTTTCTCTGTTTGATGGAGGGAGAGAAGATCTAACTCCATCAGAGATGTTTTATGGAGGTTTGTATTAGAGATGGCTCGCAAAGGCCTAGCGATACACGTTTCTGGATGGCAGGTCTATTAATACTCTTCCAAGTTGTGATTGGAAATTAAGCTGGATGGACATTTCCCAAAGGTCTTGTAGGAAACAGACAGCAGGTTGGATAGCATCTCATGAATCTGTGTACGTATCCGCTGGCTGCAATAATCAGACAGTGAGAAGTATGGGCTTTATGTGTGGAAGACAGTCAATTAAATGGGAAGCAGGACTAAAGAGGAGTGATTATGACCTGACCTTTAGCAGCGCATTAAAAACCCCAGCAGCTGAGATCTTGAGAATGAGGTGTCATCTCTGAGTAAGCCAATGAATGCAGACCAATAAAACTGGCTCGCTTGTATGAGGAGCACAAATTATGTCCAAATATACACAGCCACCTAGATTTATGTACAAACAATCCTACTAACTGCTTTAGGCAAGCAAAACCAAGCTGTACACGCAAATGTCAGGCTTTAACACGCTCCTCATTTACCCTGCAGTCACATCTTGTATCTCAAGAATCATTTGTTACCCAAGCTTCAATTTTATTGCCTTTAATTCTTGCTCAAATCCCTTTTGACAGCTGCAATTGTAGGGATTACAGAATTAAAATATATAAAAAAAACAAATATTATATATTATATTGTATTATAATATAATTTTCTTAAGGGCTCATGAAACTTATATTTTCAGTCACATGTCATTTACAGCTCAGATCAGTCCTTAAAATAAAATGGCCATGTACCAGTGCAACTTCAACTGCCATTGAGAATGTGAATGCTAACAGATGCTTTGTATTTTAGACCTCATTGGGTACAATAACACAAGTCCTTTAAGTGTAAATTCAATACAATGGCTTATTTGGGCTTGCATACTTTAAGACAAAACATGAATTCATGGAACAAAAACTTTTTGCTTCTTTAACAAAGCAAACCCTTTAAAAGTCGTCAATAACATGTCTGCAAAATCCAAATGTTGTGTCTGGCTTTGTAATAAGAACATTTGCACTGAGGAGTAATGGCTCCATCTGTTAACACGTTGCAATTTTGTTGATTCATGAGCATATTCAGGTTAAAGCAAGTGATTAAGAGACCATGAATAATTTAGGATAGATCAACTTTTGCTTTGCCATATAAAGTATTTGAATTTAAAAGTGCAGATTTTTTTTTGCTTTCATATGGTATAAGTCTTCAATATCAGTGTATCGCTTCCCCTGGTTCTTAAGCTGTATAAATGAACTTGTGTATTAAGCTGTTTTTCATTTCAAGTAATGTTTTAAACTGCTTTTGTTCTCCCCTCTGTATTTTTTTGGGAACTCCTGGATTGCACAGAGAAGCTTCCTCACCCGCTGCCTCAAACAGGAGGTTTAAGACCAGCCTAATCCCTCAAAATGGTGCTCTAATTTCATAATCCCCCATAGGAAAGTAATTTGGAACTGGCTCCAAATTTACAGAAATAAAAATGGGAAATTAATGCTCCAATGCATGGGTGGCTCTTACATTTTCTTCTTCTTCTTTTTCTAAAAAATGAAATTGTAGCAAAATTCCCGGTGATCCTCAGGAGACGTCCTCTCCTATCTCAAAAAGAGCTGATTAGCAGGATATTGTAATGCAGATAACAGCCTCTTCTCTGGTATGAAGCCAGAGGGTGTGTAGCTGGGGTTCTGTCTGTGAGTGGTTCCCCAGTGTATGTATACACTTGGTTTCATCTGATCTCAGTGCATATTGCTAAACTCAGAGGATGGTGGCGATGGTTAGCAGTCTATTTTGTGGGAACTTCTGGGAAGTGGTCTGTTTTGTGTTGCTATACCTGCACCTGGTTGAGGATGTTTAGGGTTTGTGCAGAATTCAGAATTGAAGAAATGGCTTGCTTTCAATTTATGAATTGGAATGGGAATTAAACTGGCCACAACTCACAGGAAGTTGCATTGGAATAACAGGAAGAGGAATTCTGGGGAGTGATGTTTACCTCCACACCCTGCCTCAAAAAGGTTCATTCCTTCCATCCATCCATTCATCCTGTAAAAAGAAGTTGAGAAAATTCCAAAAAGTCCTGAAGATGATTGCGTCAAGTTTTTGAGTTCTGTAACTTATAAAAAAAAAAAAAAAAAAATGCTGTCTCAACCTTTTATTACACAAAATACAATACTATAGTAAATAATATAATGCATAATAAATTATTTTAACATAGCAATTAACATTACATTAAAATGACAACCACCAAATTTGCAAGATCTTGCCATTTTTAGTTGCTCCGGCCTTAAAGTTGACTTTATTTTTTATATAATCCCAACGTTTTCTAAAAATGTGATAGTTCAACAAACCTTTAAACTCTTTAAAATCCGTCTGACAAAATGGATTTTTTTTATAGTGCATCAATCTAACAGTAATTATTCTTTAAACTTCAAAGTTTTTAACTTGATTTCAAAAGTTCAATCAAGGCTTTATCAAGGCAAAATGTAGAACTTTGCTTTTCTAAAAATTATAATATTTTCTGAATTTCAGTGAACTGTAATTCTACTTCCTTTAACTTAAATTTAAATTGCAATTATTCCCAAATGAACCATTTTGTTGAATTGCTCTTACAAGACTTATGGTTGTACTATCCTGTTTGCTACCTCAATTCAAATTAAATTTAATGTTGCAAATTGAATTTGAATTGAATTAAATTTAAAAGACTCACTTAGTTCAATTCTGAATGGCACACAAACCTGTTGAGGGGGAGAGGTTGTTGGAGTTCACTGTGGTTTGGTGGTTGAGATCAGTGATTCACAACTGGATGAATAACAAGGAAATGCAAAAGAGAAAACTGAAAAGAAGGTCTATATGTTCTCTATCTCCATTTTAAATTTAGAGCTAGTACAGTTGAGGTTTCGCTCTTCCACCAATTGTTGCGTGTCTGATTGGTGAATGTTGTGAAGTCCTGTCTTGATAGAGGAGGTAATCAGTGGCGTAGTCACTTGCCTTATTATGTGGAATAATGGAGCTAAACGTCTGTATTAACACCTCACATCGCTCTCGCCATCACAGCAGTCAATGATATATAAAAACCATTTATAATTATCCCCCTGCAATGAACTGTCATCAGCCCGTTTGGTATGAAGAGGAAATCTCATTTCCCTCAAATCACATTCATAGGCAGGGACTGGCAGGTAGCAGAGGAAATGCTGAGTGGGTTTTCCACAGGGGGAAAAAGACAAGGTCCAGGAGACCCAGCACAGGGAAGATAGCAAAAATATTATGCTAATGCCTCCACAGTGGGCTAATCACCACGACCCTGAATTAAAAGGCCAGATAATTAATTCCAGAGTACTAGGTTATCTACTTGGGCTATTGTCTCCACAAGAGAAAAGGAGAAAGGATTCATCCCTTTGTCTGTGTTTAACAAGACAGATAAGGTAGGCCTGAACTCATCTGGCTTGGGCTGCTGGAAATTAGAGCATGGATGTGTAAAAATGTAAAAAAAAAAAAGGTTCTTCTTTATTGCAGAGATGAAAAAAAAGGCAAACTGACCTCCTTACAATGTCCTTCTACTTCCAGAAAAGAAAATGCGTCTGACTTGTTTGGGCAGGAAGGGCAGTTGAAGTCCTCTGTGGTAGTCCTGAGAAGTGTGATATTATGTGGTACTTTATTTATCTTGTCCTTTTGGCTTGACACAGCTTCTACTTTTCCAGGACAGATCTCATTTAAAGGATACACGAAGGTCTTTTCACTGGCCCGTAGGTGAATAATGTGAAATATTGGTAGCCAGACAGAATCACGTGTGACCCCGGCAAAAGAACTAATGTGATTTACTGAGCTCATTCTCTGCTTTTTGGCAATATTTGAGGGGGAAAAAAGAAGAGAATTTACAGGAAACAACATGGGAAAATCTCTTGCATGACCACCACAACTCAATATGTCTGAAGTATGTGTGCTAAATGCTAGACTGTGGCTCTAACTCAGCCTCTGGTTTAACATCATAATCATTCCTTAGCAACTTTTCAAGATTTTTAAAGAACTTTTTAATTAACTTTGCAGATATGGATAACTGCTTCTACAAAGGCATTATGAGATTGATGAAGGCTTATAAAGTCGGCATCTTAAAGGAATAGTTCACTTAAAAGTGAAAATTCTGTCATCATTTACTCACCCTCAAGTTGTTTCAAACCTGTATGAATTTTTTTCTTCTGCTGAACACAAAGGACGATATTTTGAAGAATGTAGGTAACCAGACAGTTGATGTACCCCATTGACTTCCAAAGTAGGGGAAAAAATACTATGGAAGTCAATGGGGTACATCAACTGTTTGGTTACCGACATTCTTCAAAATATCTTCTTTTGTTTTCAGCAGAGGAAGAAAATTCATAAAGGTTGATGTAAATGATAGAATTGTAATTTTTAAGTGAACTATCCCTTTAAGTATATATGCTTGCTTTTTTTTTTTACTTCCGGAACCGTTCCAGGACTGCTGAGCTCTACAGTTGTATCCCAAATGACATACTGTGACATACATAGTGTACTATACACTATGCACTTACTATGCACTGTACTCTATACTAGGGATCGACCGATATGGATTTTTTAGTGCCGATACCGATACCGATTTTTTTCCCATCAGCCTTAGCCGATGACCGATACGGGCTGCCGATTTTCTTGAGCCGATATTTGGAGCCGATACATTTTGCTCCCTCAATTTACATCATGTCATTGTCAAAA